AAATGTTTAGAAATTTGATTTTTTCAAAGTAGCTTCTGACTTCTGATTTTTTGATGAACCAATTTCATGTCTTGATGAAATATAATTGTTGAAGCTTGATTTTTGATCTAAAAGTCCAAGTTTGACTTTTCAATATGCTTTTGACCATTTTGCCCTTGTGGATGATTTTCTTGAAGAGTTGTAATTCAAGACTTGGAACCTTGATAGAAGCAAACCTGAGAGTCCAGGATGATCTTTTGAGAAATGAGAGAGCAAATTTTGAGGTACAACACATATACATTATGGGTTCAATATCAATCTAGGATATTATGCATATACATCATACATGGCATTTTTCAAACACACTTTGGGTAAAACCAATATCTTGGAGCCCTTTGTCAGATTATCAAAACAAGCAATTACCTTATTTGAGAACAGACACGACCGGTAAAACTCTGATCTCATCTTTGTTCTAGTTATCTAAGATTTGATCATCAAAACACTTTTCAATTATCTACCTTCTAGGTGGCGGTAGGTATGCGAATTCTCAGGATTATGTTATTTATCCTCTAGGTTGTGATAAATACATAAGACTATTCTCGTGACATTTATCCTCTAGGCCATGATAAATGCACAAAACTGTTCAATCATCTATCCCCTAGGTTATGGTAGGTGTGCAAATTATCGGGTTCATATTATTCATTCCCTAGGTTGTAATTATTACGTGAATCTATCTTCGTGCTGTTTATCCTCGAGGTCATGGTAAACGCACAAATTCTTCAAATATCTATCCCCTGGGTTGTGATAGGTATGCGAATTTTCAAGGTTATACTATTCACCCCCTAGGTCGTGATGAATAACGTAAGCCTATCTCTGTTGTCTTTTATCCCATAGGTCGTGATAAATGCACAAGTTCCTCCTCGTACTATTTACTCTCTAGGTTGCAGTAAACATAACGAAATTTGTATGATTCACCGCGTCAATCTCCATGCGGAAATGTGTTAGCAAACTCTGTTTTATTCATCTCCTAGGCTGTGATGAATAGACAAAATTTGTATTATAAACTTACTATATTAGTCTCGAAGCATTAGTAAGTCAATTTTCAAACTTGTGTTATTTACCTCCTAGGTTACGGTAAATACGCGAGGATCCATAATCTCTTTTAGATATTGACGAGTTATCCGCGTCGTCGTGTCTAAGGCAAAACAAAACTTTTTGTTCAAATTCTGGTAAGATGATACATCATCATCTATGCCTATTTTTCCACACTCTTGGGAATGCTGTACAATGTATCCTTATAATCGTTCAGACAAATTTTTGGGTCTTCGATTATTTAATAAACCTCTGAGTCGAATGTGCGAGACCTGCATATTCTCGCATCCTTAATCAAAAGATAATTAAATAGGGGCAACTGTCATACTCCAAATTTTCCCTATAGATTTCTAACGATTATTCCTTATTAATGTTATCCTTTTTAATTTGTTGTTAAATTATCGTGGGGTGTGAATTTATAAAGGGGTGTATTTTTTTTCTCGTTTAAATTGAGGGCCTAATAATTACTTTACGAATTCATAGGAGAGAGTTTAGTTTTGGGTTCTTTAGTTCTGTTTTAGAATGACCCATTACGTTCAGGCTCATTTCAAATGATAAGAGGAGGGAGGGGCATTGATTATACAAAAGAGGGTATATGTTTCAAGAGGGCCATCAAAATCTGATGGCCCATTAAGGTGGTTTTTCTTTTTCTGTATAAATTAGGCTGGCCCATTACGTTTTTGTACAACCCATTAAAGGAAATATGGATGACCAATTAAGGTTGAGAAGGCGCGCTTAGAAGTATGGCCGGTCCAATAGATTTTTTTAGGCCCATTTTATCTTTTTATAATCCACTATCGTTTTACTGGTTTTGTCACTTAATTGTTTTCATAATAATTATTATCCATTATTTATATATGCTAATCAATATTTTCAAAATTATTATTATCATTTAAACATTTTTATTAATATTATTATTAAATATATAATTATTAAGACTCATTTACCAGAGTCAAGCTAGGGTTTTCAACCCAAACTCTCAGCGGCGCCCTGTTCTTGCTAACCCTTCATCACTAAGCAACCCAGAAACGTATACAAGCCCAGAAATGCAAAATAAAATCAAATCTTGGAGTAAATCAAATCTTGAAATTAATACTTGTTTTTATTTACCGAAAACGAATCTACACAATAACAAGGTCCAGGTACAGATTACAAAACCCTAATTTCAAACAAAATCTTTCTAAATTAATTTACAAAAAATCGAATCCCTAAACAAATCTAAATCTTCCTAATTCCTAAATCAATTACAAATTGTAACAATTATCATAAACAAAACTTCCTAATCTATCTCTAACCTAAGACTATAAATAAACCTAAAAAGTTCTAAAAAAAGGAGGAGAAAAAGAATTGGAGACGAACAAGTTGACAGAGAAGCAGAAAGAAGAAGAAGATAAGTTTAGGGCTTCAATATCTGAAACCCTAAAGTTCTTCGTCACGCTGTCGCTAAACTACCATTTGTCGTCGTCATTTATGAAACAAGAAAGAAAGAAATTAGAGGGGAGAATCAGAAAACCAGAAATCAAGAATCACAACAAAGAGAGGTAAGCATGAAACCACTTAGCTCTTAGGGTTTGATTGCACATTGATTGAAGTTAACTGTATGATTGGGGTTTAATTTGGGGTTTCTAGGGTTAAGTTATGGTTAGGGTTCATCATACTAGGGTTAGGATTCTTCCGGTCTAGGGTTAGGGTTCATCGTTGTTGTATGTTATGGGTTTTGGTTCGATTAGAGTTACTCGTGAACCCTTAGGGTTCTTAGGAATCTACGTAGGATTCATACCATTTTCTGGAAATTGTTTGAATGTATGAAGGTTCTGGTTGAATGTCAACCGAAAATATGGAGGTAAAGGGGGGTTGGTGGTGGCCTACAGTAGTGACCGCCGGCGAAAGCAATTTCCGACCAGCGGGGCGATTTCCGATTGCCTAGAGAGAAGCTATACAAAACATTTGTGTTTTTGTGTGAGGAGAGTGGGAAAGAAAGAAAAAATGGGCCTCTAGCCCAGTAACAAGTTTTTATATATTTCCCTTGATCCGATACACGCAATCCCAACGTCTTTACCATGCGCTTCCCATCACAATCCTTGGATTAGCATCAGATGTCCTAAGAGCGCGCGTCCATCGTAATTCAGCGGTCTCTCCCACACCTCGCCTATTCGATCAGATACGTTTTGGGCTTAACCCATTACTAAACTCACCCTCTATTTTTGCTACACCAACATAGTTCTCACCCCCTACGCTATTGGGCCCAATTCAATATCTGAACTTGGGCCCCTTGCTGACCAAACACCCCATTTTGCTACGCAGTTCAAAACCACACCCCCTTTATGATCTGGGCCTTCATTCAATATCTGAATTCAGGGTCATACTTTCCACACCTCTTGTTTTACTTAACCCGAATAAAATACACCCCCTGCGTTTTTATTAATTTTTTTTCTTTTTATTATTATTTATATTATTATTATAATTATATATTTAATATATTTATAAATTCTGAAATTCTTTTATTATTATAAAATTAAAATATTTATTTTTTTTCTACTAACTCATAATTACTTTTAAAAATTGCATTAAAATTATTTTTGTCATGCATTAAAAAGATTTTTTTTATATATTAATATATTTAAAAAATACCTAACCAACATCAAATTATTTTTTACTAATTTAATTAATCCAAGATTATTTTCAAAAAGGATTATGAGGATGCTTTTAATCGACTGCGAACTTCGTCTAACAATTCCGCTATTCACACACCCAAACTTGGTTCAAGGAGAATTCAAAATATCTTCGTAATCCATAAAAAACACCAACCAACTGCGAACTACGATTTGGGACTCTGATTCATAAGAGGATACGTAGGCATACGACTAAAATCGTGGCGAGTTCCCCTAATTAAAATTAAAACTCTATTTCCTAAGTCGTAATTCTAAACTCTAGTATCCTTGTGAACAAGGTAGATGAGGGGTGTCTAACACCTTCCCTTCGTCCTAAAAGAGTCCAATAACTTAGAGTCTCTGACTAAATTAAGGTTATCCTTTATATTCCTTTCTCAAAGATAAAAATTAAGGGTGGCGACTCTCAATTTAAAACCGGTTACAACACCTATAAAATTTGTATTCATGCATTTATAGTCCTTGCTATTTTCTAAAATTTTGAAAACTATTTAATTACTCTTAAACTTTTAAATTTTTGAATAATTTTTTCATACGTGTTTAGAATGCTATAAAATATTTCTTTACTAAATTTTAGAATTTTTAAAAATGAGATGAATTAAATATGAATTTTTTAAACTTCAAAAGATATTGATGAAAGTAATGAAAATCTCAACTTAGAAATCAAATTTTGAGTTTTTTTCGATGAATTTTTTATAACGTTCTAAACATGTCTGTAAAATAATCAGTCAAATATACACATCAGTTTAACAACAGAGACTAAAACTACGTGCATAATAATTTTATAAAGATTAAAACATACCATATTTTTTTATAGGGACCAAAAATAAAATTTAATAATTTATAGAGACAAAAAACATATTTAACTCTTAAGAAAATAATTACTCTTTTTATCAATAAATACTTGCTTTTATTTTGTAGATAGGTTTAACAAGATTGATTCTTTCTTAAGTCACTATAGGCATTCATAATTTCATCAAAGAATATTGAAAATGTTCAATTAAAAATTATTAACTTAAATTTCGAATCATATTACATACAAATGGCTTATTAAAAAAAACCTTACACCTATAATTTTAACAAGAATGTGTACTAACTTAATTTGATTAATATATAGAACTTAAAAGTTACATTACACAACCGAAAAACAAGTACTAGAGAAATGTCTACTTAGATAGATCATTTTTAATCCTTCTACAGACAGAAAATTAATTAATATCTCCAAATTTTGGAATTATACAATTAGTATACAAACCCTAATTAGCCTCTCCAAGGATTTTGATTATGATTTTGCTTACCATAAGATAAAGAACCCAAAGGATCATCATTCATTCCAGATATATTGAACAAATCTCTTTGTGAAAATGCACCAAGACTCAAAAAGTCCCTTGTCATTTCATCATCATTGTTGCTTTTACCAAATTGGGAATATTGTGTTTGTGTTGATTTGGAAACAAATTCCTCAAAGTTATTATTAGCAACAACACCTTCAAATTGTGAACTTTCATTACCATATATCACATCATGCAAAAGAGAAGATTCTTCTGTATTTGTAGCAGTAACAGTGACACCTTGTTCAAAGCATTCAGAGGCTATTGCAGCTTTATTCCCATATGGAGCCAAACAATGAGAAAAACCAGTCGCTATTTCTTCACGTGAAGGCATAACTATTCCAGAAACAGGTGAAGATGAATTCATATACAGTGTCTTATATTCAAAAGGCACGTGAGTTTGCATTAACTGGGAGGAGGGCCTACAATGTTCTTGATCAGTGTTGCTTACTGTTACACCTATTTGTGATGCTTTTTGCAGTAAACTAGTGGCTGACATGTGTGGAGAAGAAGTAGTGATTATATTATTGGAGTTGAAATTTGAAGGAAATAGATTTGTAGGGTTAGGGTTTTGTTCATAATGGTTCATATGAGTTTGGAATAACCATGATGGTATTTCTGAAGATCTTGAGTTGAAGTCTTGTTCTTTTTTTAGTGATGGTGGTTGAAAACCATGGCTATGAAACTGTGAGTGATGAGAGAATAGAGGGTTCACTGCTGACATTGACATAGCACTCTCATGTGATAGAACATCACAGAAAGCTCTGTGAGTTATAAAACTGTCCCTTCTGCAACACAAAAACAATACACCAAATTTAATCAATGAGACAATCATGGTTACAGTATATATACAATTAAGCGTAAAATATTTCACGTTTTCAGTCGTTAGAGGTGTTGCGATACCGATTGCAGTCATCGCGCCGTGGTGTGAATTAAATTAACTACAGTGAATAAGAGTATCTATATCGACACCTTTCGATACCATTTTATCCCGTCCGTTTTCGAAACATATATCTTAATCACTGAATCCATATTAGATATTCTTACTGTTTAAGAACACTTTTTACTGTTATATGATATCTCTCTCTCTCTCTCTCATATCATATCCTCTTTTTAGATTTTTGACTAATTATTGAACATGCCATGATTTAGTTATTTTGGATCTATAATCAATGTAAACTAGTAATATTCTTACCTTGAGAAAAGGGTTCCACATTCACACTTATACTCTTTAGTGCCACAAATTTTGGAATGAGCTTTCCAATCAGATTGAACTGCATAACGTTTGGAACACTTTTCACATTTCCATTTCTTCTCACCATGCTTTCTGAAAAAGTGCTTCTTGATTCCAGTGAGGTCTCCTAATGCCCTTGAAGGGTCATGATGAACACATGCTGCCTCTGGACACACATACACTTTCTTTCTTATGACTTCATAGCTGTTTCTTTTCTTTAGCTTCCATGGCAAATTATGTCCTCTTTTATGAAGCTGAAGATTTTGATCTCTTTGAAAACCTTTGTTACAAATCTCACAAATGAACCTGTTTGTTGCCAATAGAGTTTGGGGACTCAAGGCTATTACTTCTGCCTCAGGGTCTGAAACAAAGCCAAATGAAGAACATTTAAGCTGCAAATATTCAATTCCAAAATATATACAACATTATAACTATTAGAACATTATAATCTACTAGAACTAAGTTGCAGTCGCGGTTGTTGCAGCATTGCAATGTGTTTTTCATGTACATATTAAAAATTGCAATTCGAGGGTGTCTGCAATATTGCGGCCGCATGATGTGGCATGTAATTTACAACACTACTCCCACCAGACCATCACAAGGTTACAATGTCAGAAACTAAATTTGCATTTTAAACATTTCGCCCTTACAGACTTCATGTTTAGAGCTATAGACCGCCATAAAATATGAGACTTCAAGCTCTTGAATCTTTTTTTATCTTTGCTATAGGCCAAGTTTCTAATACTCATGTTATCCAAATAGAATTCGAGTGCGCAACTAGTTCTGCAATTTATGAGAAAACCTAGCGAGCCGAGGGTCCTTACAAGATACTGAGAGGCTAGAAGGAGCTAATCATGTAAGAAAAATCAAGTTATTCATCAACCTAAACCCTAGACACCATGACCTTGAGTGTAATATACTTTTGACCAAGGAAAACACACAACCAAATAAAAGGAAAAGAAAATAACTGGTCTGAATTATTATACCTGGGTGGCCTGGAAGATTTCTCTTCCTTTTGGTTTGTGGTTCTAGATTTGCCTTTTCATTCTTGGTTGCCGAAGAAGCACTTTTTTCACTAGAAGCAGATGTCAAATTTGACATATTTTCATCTATGGACAAACCTTTCATCATCTCCTTTAGATTATGAGAAAACAAACTATGTTGTCTTTGCAAATATATGTCAGAGATAAACAAACTTTTGTGATAGATCAACTTGTTTTCCACTAAAGGATGTCTGAACTAGTCGGAATTTAGGGCATGTGGTTCGTGCGTAGTAGTCTGTATGAGTGTCTAAATCTCAAGGTATCGAGTTCGAATCATAATCATATAAAAAACATCAAAAGGAAGAGCAAGCTGAGAAAATAATTAAGGTGAATAGATCCCAAGATGGATTTCCTTCATTCAAAGTTATATATACACATCCAAATCTAGCTATAGTAAGCTAAAATCAAGAACTTGGTAAGCAAAGTAAGTTCCCTAGTTTGTATGGAAATTTCAGGATTTGTCTGAGAGTGTGTGAAGGGGAAAGAGAGAAGAATATTGTGGATGAGAAATTAAAGGGTTGCTTTGAAAGCTGGCATAGGACATATAAGACCAAAACACAAAGCAAATTTGGCTTGTTATCATGAAGTGCACTTTCTGTCTTTTCCTCTTTTTTCTTTCTCCCTTACTCAATAATTGCATTACATTATAACACTATGATATGCATGTATCTCACTTTAAAACGTTATTATAACTTTATATTAAATAATAATATCTGGCATATTGATTGATTACTGAAGCAAACATTCTCCTCCATTAAAAGATTATAGTATGGTCCATGAGAGATGATGAGTGGGTGATTGATTATGTATCAACTTTTAACATCCTTGGGTAAAAGCGATAAAAACTAAAAAGCATAACTGCTTTTTTTCTCTTCTCTGAACTCACACAGACACTGCCATGAATAGTTTGTTATCATAGATTCGAATCAGTAAATACAAGACAAAACTCATAAATATATAGAGAACAAAAATGTTTCATGTATTCTTCAAAATTTCCCTATCATGTGTAATTAGTTAAGACCACATTATTTTGTTACCTAGATATTTGTTGAAATAGGTTGATAAATGAATGCAAAATTTCAGTTGGTGTAAAGTTTGTGACTGCTGTTTAGCATAAAGTTTGGTTTTCTAGTTGTTATACGTGAAAATAAAAATTTAAAAACCAGGCGAATAAATCGACACATGAAAATAATTTAAGCCTATTCGAAAAAAGGCATACAAATGCAAATAGCAATTCCTAACAAGTCTTGTCCTTGAACCGGACCATAAAAATACGGGGGTTCATTGATTTATGACACGACCATATGCTTTGAAAGAAGATGTGACTTATCATTTTTTATTATGTTTTTTGAAAACTGAAATTTGCCAAAATAGAGTTAAGAGTGTTGCTTTACTTGATCAATTTGAAAGATAGAAATCATGATATGTCTAGTATTTTTATTAAAATTTTAAATCAATCAAAAAATCATTTCAAACTAACTTATCATCGTTTTAGTTAATCATGAGATACGTAAAATCAATAATTCCAATAGTCTTTAATGAAACGATACCAATTTTTACGGCCAATCAAGTTTTTGGTGTCATTGCCAAGGACTATTTTAAATATGAAAATTTATAATTTCATCTATTAGATTAAGATAATTTTCTATTTTTTATTTACTCTCTCAATTATTTTAGTTTTAGTTGAATGTAGAGAACCTAAAGCCTTGGGAACGTCGTTGAACCAATCGACAAAATCAAACACTATTTGGATTTTAGACGTAGACAACAACTAATGATGATTGAAGCTAATCACACTCTTAAGGACTACACATCCCCTAATAATACATAGCCTTATTTCAGTATTGTGCGTCCTATAGTGGATGTTAATAATTTCTAGTTAAAATCGTTTATGCTGTTGTACATTATAACCAATTTTCTAGTTCACCGAGAGATGACCCGAACCAACATTTTGCCATCTTTATAGAATATTGTGACATTCTAAAGATGAACAAAGTGACCAATGGTGTGATTTGATTGTGACTTTTTCCTAAGGGACGTAGCCAGAGCATGGCTACATTTCTTACTATCTGATTCCATTACGATATGAGATCGGTTAAAATTGCCTTCCTTGCCCGATATTTCCCTCTGAGTAAAACAATGCAAGTTAGAAACCAAATAATCAGTTTTACTTAAAAGAATAGGGGAGTCGTTCTACAAAGTATGAACACGATTTAAGGAAATACTAAGGTTATGCACCGACCATAGACTTGAAAGAGCATTGTTGATAATCCACACAATTTATAATGTCCTTATGTATTCCACAAGGATGACAATTAACGCGTCCACTATAACATAAAATCCTTATCAACTTAGTTAGAAAAGAGTTTTCACATCATTTGGCTTTCCGAGGTAATGTTCAGTGTTATGATATGTCTACCACATTTCACACAGGGCGATTGAACAAGGTAAAAAACAGTTTATCACGTCGGTCACTAACTGAGACAAAGGGATATCTGGTGACAACTTTTATTTTTCACATTGGGCAGACATGTAAGTGATGAGATATACTTCACTTTTCACCTTAAACAAGCTTGTGACCAAGGGGGGATGAACTTCACTTTTCTCCTCAAGCAAACTTGTAATCGAGAGAATATGGGGTAGAAGATAAATTGATATCTGGTGACAACTTTCACTTTTCACATTGGGCAGGCATGTAAGTGAGGGGATAAACTTCACTTTTCACCTCAAACAAGCTTGTGATCAGGGGGGGGGGGGGAACTTCACTTTTCGTCTCAAGAAAACTTGTAATCGATAGGGTGAGAGGTAGGGGATAAATTTTCACATTGGTTCTCTATCGTAATCGATGTGAAATTCCTTGTATTTTTAAATTATAATTTTTTTATACATATTTTTGGTTATAACTTTTATATTATTAAAATAAAACCTAAATGGAACCCATTTTGTATCTGTATTTAAATGCTTACAATACCAAAACAATATATATATATATATATATATATATATATATATATATATATATATATATATATATATATATATATATATATATATATATATATATATATATATATATATATATATATATATATATATATATATATATATATATATATATATATATATATAACAAAATCTAAATGACACATATTTGTATCATATATTTAAATGGCTACAAGGCCAAAACAAAAAAGTCTACATATTTAAATCGGATTCACAAATCAACTTCCTGGTTCGTCCTCTAGGAAAGTAACATGTATCCTACGATCATCATCATTTGTCAAAACAGAAACCGAAGAGTTTTCCCCTCTCCTTCTATAAATACTCTTTCTCTTCATTTTCTCCTCTTTTTTCCTTTCATCTTCTGATTTTCTCCAACATACTTTTGAACTTTTATCTTCTAAAACACAGAAACCCATTTTCTTCTCCAAATCATTCATCATTTTCCACAATAGTTGCTTAAAAGTCAAACATCTCAAAGGATTCTAAAGGTTCCAAGACTCTCTGCCCCTTGTTACCAGATGTAATGCGGTGGGAGAACTGACTTGAGTATTTTGCGTTTTATCATAATTATTGCAGATAGCAAGAGTCGCCACCGACTTTTCTTTTATCCAATAAAGGAAAGGGTGAAAAGAACATGAAAGACCTTTTGAGATATTTTCTTGAGTTCAGGGGGTAGGTTATGAAAAGGGAAGGTGTTAGCACCCTTTTCATCTGTAGTTATCTACGGGCTCTTAGTTGCTAGCTCATTTTGAAATGTATTGTTTGAAATGTGTTTGTGATTTATTTTTAAAAGTATTTTTGAAATTTTCCTTCATTTAGACGAACTTTGTAATGATTCTCGTCTCTATAAGAATATATACAAAGTGTTGACTTTTGAAAATATTTTATTTGAAAGTGTTGGTGTATTTGAAAGATGTTTTGAAGATGGTTGTAAGCAAGCAACTATGAACGTTCTACCTACTCAAAAAGTCTTAGTTCTTTTCCTCCTCCTTTAGATATTGCTATCTTACCATTGATTGGTAAGAAGCCTTATCATTAGATGTGAAGGAACGAGTGTGGGTCGTCGTATAGTCATAGACGACAATATTATAGGATACCTTAGCAATTTTTGTAAGGGTCTAAGATCGTTTACCGAAGGCAACATTGAAGGGTCATCGAGGGACTACGATCTTTTTATCGAGGGTCTTTGCTAAAACATCTCACATTCGAGGGACATGACTGTTTATTCGTAGGCAACAAGTGTGGGTTACCCTAGAGGTGCGTATGTGAATTGTGTTTTGATTGCATGCATTTTTGTCTTGAGATTAGGATTCTCTAAGATTGATTTTATCTTGCCATACACACCCTAATTACTAACAATTATATTAAAAGTGATAAATTGCGGAAATTAAAGTCTTACACTATTACATCATTTAGAGGATGGAGATACAACTTATAAATGGGGATGAAAGCAATTAAAACCTAATTACTATTACAACCAAATTGAATAAAAATAAATAGCAAAAAAGTTTCAAAAATCAATATTTTTGGTGTTTAGGCTGACACGGGTTGTGTCTTGTGACACAGGCACCCGTGTCAGGACCCTGTCCTTCCATACATGCCTTTTTTATTCCAGCTGAGCTGACACGGGCCGTGTCCCGTGACACAGGCACCCGTGTCAGAACCCCGTCCTGCCATTTTGCCAAGTTTTAATCCCAGTAAGAGGGACACGGGCCGTGTCCTGTGACACGGGCACCCGTGTCAAAACCCTGTCTTGCCATTTTTCCTGTTTTCTTCCTGACACGGCCCATGTCAGGTGACACGGCCGGTTGTGTCAGACTTCCAGAAGCATTTTTATGTAGTTTTGAGTGTTTTCAACTCTTCTACTTTAATTTGTCCTATTTTATTCTTTTGAAAATGAAAGTAAAATGATGTATGAACAAGGATATCACAGTTTGAGAAAACTTACCTCTTGAATTGAAAACTCAAAATGTTTATGGATGTTTCTAGGTGCAAAGTATTGATTGATTGAACTTCCTTATACCTCTCTGAAGTTGTTCCAATCTTTACTTTATGCTGAAAGTGTTTGAATCTCTCCAACCAAGT